TGTGTGTGTGAGAGAGAGAGAGAGAGAGAGAGAGAGAGAGAGAGAGAGAGAGAGAGAGAGAGAGAGAGAGAGAGAGAGAGAGAGAGAGAGAGATATTTCCATCGATCGGATGAGCAACGCACTGGCCAACATAATTCGAACTCATGTTCGCGTTTCCACTGTTCGTGGGTGTGTAGGATCTGAGCTAACACGGCAGTTGGTTGGACCAGCCATGCCGTGTTTGCAGGTCTCTCTATGCTTCCACGCAGTGATGACGTGTTAGATGTGTAGTAGACCAAGGGAGTGGAACCAATCCGCCTCAGATGCGTTCTGGTCACAGTATGCTGTCTGCTGGGTCGGGCTGGGCCACGGCGATGGGTTGGCTCGCGCGCATGTGCGCTTGGAAGGGCTTTGGGAGGGGTGGCGCGACCTTGAGGTGGCGGGAGGCGGGGGAAGGAGAAGGATCTGTTGCCGCAGGATTGTGATGTTGCTCTGCTGCTCAGCAAATGAATGCCCAGACAGAACGGATGCAACACGGCTGCCTCTGCACTTGCTCCAAACCATCGCCACACAGTCCACCAACCCCTGCACAACCGAATGCCAACTCTCAGGCGTGCGCATGCGTGCGCAATCGACGTCGACGGGGGGGGTGCAGAAAAGAGGAAAAAAAGAAAAAAGAAAAACGAAAAAACGGCCAAATAGCCCGAAAAAGAAAATTGGCGCCGTCCACCCACAAAAAAAGCNAAGGGCGACCGCCGCAGCGACCGGTCGGTCTTATGACAACGACCGCACCCTTGTGCTGCAGATTGCAGCCCCCTCTACGCCGCTCTAAGCCCCTAGACAGCCCCTAAACAGGTCGTCGACATTTCCCGATCGGGAAATCCGCTTCTGCAAAAAATGCAACCGGGTACAGTTTATGGGCGTACCAACTGAGCTAAAGCCCGTTGGTCCGGTCACACTTCCAGCACTGCCCATCAAACCCGTGTCTCTCCCCATCCAGTGTCACCAGCCTGCCCAGCACCCGATGGAATTCTCTTTTCTTGTGCGCAATCGCCGCCTCCAGCTGTGCCCGCACACGCATTATGGGCCTCGCCGCACTACTCACGTAAGGAAAAAGAAAGTCAGCACATCTTCCCACAGAAGGCCACCAGATACATCATTTACTATTGCCACCTTCTGTGGGAAGATGCATTCGCTTTTTCTTTGGTGTCAATAGCAGTGGGGCGAGTCCCTACACCTCTTTCTTCTGAATTCTTGAGCTTCGCTCGTGACAGCAGGCAATACGCGTCGCACAGTGTGACTGGCCTGCCGCCGGATAACGCAAACCTGTCTTGCATCTTTCAGAATCTGGAGGGGGGGGAGGGGAAAAAAAACAAAAACAAAAAAAAAACAGAAAAACTGGGCACCGTAGGATGTATCTGGCTGCAATTACAACCCCCGAAGGATGTATCTGACAGCAACGACTCCCAAGGCTGAGACGAGAAAGCCCTACCTTCGTTAGTATGCCCTCATCCCATCAAACACCATGTTTGTCCGGCCACCGAACCTGGCAAACTTCTGAGAAAAAAGAACTGCTGGAGGAGCCTCATTCCACTACCGGTAGTCGCAAAATGTGAAAATGGAGAATGAATCTGGCTACGTTTCCTGCAAGATGCATCCGCCGTTTTCGCATCTGCACTTGCTCCAAACCGTCGCCACACAGTCCACCAACCCCTGCACAACCGAATGCCAACTCTCAGGCGTGCGCATGCATGCGCAATAGACGTCGACGGCGGCGGTGCAGAAAAGAGGAAAAAAAGAAAAAAGAAAAACGAAAAAACGGCCAAATAGCCCGAAAAAGAAAATTGGCGCCGTCCACCCACAAAAAAAGC